GAGGGTTCTATCCCTGACACAGATTTCTAGGAGGCAATATCTCTTCCTGTTAGAAAAATTATGAAATGAAAATTAAAACTTTTAATTACATGCAACAGCAAGTCTGACGTACCAAATTACTTTTTTTTTTTTACACTGATGGCTTTGATTCTCACTTTCTCAGACTCACAAAGCATATTTGATTTACTAAATCCTTAATTTATTCAAGCACAAAACACAGTCTTACTGAGGCATCTCAAAACTATCTGTATTTATATTTAATGAAAAACTTCTCAAAAGGTAAGTAAGTCTGAACAATCAATTGCAGAACTAATAAAGTATGGCCAAATGTAGTTTTAAGCAAATGCAGAAAAGAAAGAAATATTCAGAATTCAGTTATTGAAAGAATATTCAGAGGAATGAAAGCTTTTGTACTTTGGGACTGACTTTTTTAATATGCTTAAGTCTCCTATTAAAGCAAATAAGAGTTCTGCCTAGGTAATGAAACTGTATGAATACAGCATGTGGCTCTTCATATAAAAAAATGCTATGTTTCACTAGAGGATTCAATATTTTGAACAGATAACTTATCAATTCACTTTAAAAAGTACTTCTGTGAGTGACTTCTAAAATGGATCAATATTCCACGATACAGGAAAGTGTTGAATATTTTATGCACCTGATTAATGCATTGTTATCATCCCAGTAATTAAAAGGAGCGGCATTACACACAATCAGCATGATACATCTTACTCAGCACCTCCTGGCAGTTGCCTGCAAAAATTAAACTCATTAATCACTGTGATGCCAAGAAAGAAGCCTGGAAAAGATGAAAAAGCTCTATTTTATGGGAAAACAGTTCTCAAATCAATGTGTAGGAGAAAATCCCTTCCCCTATACAATATGCAAAACATCTCATCAGTCTAACAGGTAAACCAATCAAAATTACCATTTAAAAAGGTAACCCCATCAATCTAAAAAAGAGAATTATGCTAACAAAATTGTTCATAACCTGGTATACCACCACACTAAACTGAATAAAGAGTTCTCAGAGATGTTTCCTCATCTAAATAAATGTAGTGAAAAGCTAATTTTATAACAAGGTAAATATATCATGTGAATTTGGTTTAGAGCTGTTGCAATAACTTTAATATCAATAATGCCACAGAGCCAAGTAGGAAGAGCTTTTCTGGGGTCATTTACACAGAACCTAGTTTCTTTATTACTCCTCTTGTAAATAACATGATTGTCCCATCAGATTAAAAATTAACATGAGAAATTTGCAAGACTTTATCCAGGTTTTGTTCTGTAGTTAGGTCTACTATGTACATATTTTTCATAGAGCTGTACATATTTTTCATATAACTATTTAAAATTCTAAAGTATGCTGTGACCTCTACTTTGCTCTATTTTTATGTTACTAAAACAATGTTCTCAAGTGTGTCTCAATGGTGTCTGTAAGTCATCAGTAGTCACATAAAATCATTACTGGTTTTGATTTGAATTTTGTTAGGGAGTTATTACCTTCTTTTAACTCTTTCTAGATTTCAAGCAGTATTTTTCCATCAGTAGTACTTCCAGTGGACAGAAGGCTTACTTACAATACTGTGACCTTCAAAGGCAACATTCTGTCTTTTCCTCTGTTTTGTTCTGCATTGAAGTCTGTGCTGGTGCTTAAAAATACACCACACATATTTCAATAGGAAAAGTCATCATCAGTAACCCATAAAATACACGCAGCTCTCACCCTATTATTAATCACATGACAAAATTAGGAACAGAACAGTCTCATTCTTAGGTTTGTTTTGGTTTTTCCAAGTGTGGAAAGTGAGAAAACCCTTTGTTTCTATATGTTTAAGTTCTGGGTTTTCCCACTACATTGATGTCAAAATATGTAAGACAATGTGAATGTCCCATGTATGCAAAACAGAAAATAGAAATCTAATCTCAGGAAAGAGTTTCCAGTGCTGTCTCTTTAAGCCCTTCCCCGTGGTGAGCAATAACACGTAGTCCTGGCACCCTGCACAAACAGACCACTCCCCTTATACTTGTCCCCTGGTCTTTGCCAGCTCTCTGCCTCAGTTTCCCCCTTTCCTCATGGCCAGAGCAGCATTTGCTCATCCTGAGCGAGTGTGATTGCTGCCACTCTGTCTCTGCTGCTCTTACCACAGACAAGGGAGAGGGGTCACTGTCAGCTC